GGTATAGGAGTGATCCTCGTTACGGAAAATTCTTAAAAATGAATTAGAAAAAGACGGATTATCCGAATACCATAACGCTTTTGTTTTCTTTCTTTCTTAAATCAAATATAGAATATTATCAATATTATTATTATTTATAATACATAATTAGAATATTTCCATAATGGAAAGAAAATTTTCGAAGAAAATCCAATACCATTTTAACAAGAGTAGTTGCATTATCATGCTAATGTTTATGAATACATGAATATATATTTTATCAAATCTTAGTCCAAATAGTCATAAAGGGGGACATTCTTGGATGATTGGAAATCAAAAAAAAGAGAGGATTTTTGGTAGTGAAAGATTCCGTCTTTGGAATTTTTGGAATATTTCCAAAAACATTTTAATACTTTGAATGCACTTTAAAGTAAAGGAGACTAACTTAAGAGTTTTATTTGTGAGCTTCTCAATAAATTTTAAGTTATTGTATACTACTTTTACTTCTTTAAAAAGACAGTTAATTCTATTATAAACATATATGATGTAATAATTTATTTATAAATATATTCTTCCTCATTTTAATCCCCTTCCTCTCCATCCTCCCACCACTGATCGAGTGGAGGGAAAAAAAACCTCTGAATTAATTAGTGATGAGTTCGGTAGAGTTTGTTGGGTTTTCGATAGTTGGTGGTGGGTTCGTACCACACCAACCACGTGGAGTTTTTCTGCTTTCTTTACGTGTCTAACAAAAAAGATACCATTCTTTCCGATACTTATTGCATTACATTTTCCATCAATCCAATCAAATCTCCCACCTCATTATAATGTCCGGGTGTTGCTGGATTTAACCCACACCCAGCCTGAACCCACGACATGATTAAAAATGTTTTATTAATCTTTTACTTCCGCCCCTCACCAATAGATAAAAATGGTGATGGGTTCGTACCTCGCTATCAACGTTGAATTTTCCGGTTTTTTTTAACACAATTCTAACACCAATAAATCCTCCCGTTTTTGTATACGTTACGTTGACTTTCCATCAATTCAATCAAATCCCACCCTCCATTATATGATGCGGAAACGAACTCTCTCCCATCCGAACCCACGATACGTCTTTCAAATGTCTAAAAGAGGTGGGGGGAATCGTTTTAATTAAACAAAACAATCGATTAATCTTCTAAAAATTCTCCATTTGTTGAAATTAAGAGGAAATAAATTTATTTTGATAAGAAGAAAAGATTAATTTAAACACGGGATAATTATTTTCTGTGGGGAAAAAAGAAGAGTTTTTCATCGTCGTTACTTCCGTTTAAACTTTTTTTAAATGACTTCCAATTTGTTGATACTACAGTCAACAAGTTCAAACTCGTAATCCAGAAAAAAAGACTTGTCTACAATTTTTTTTTTAACAAATCAAATTTAACGAGACAAATTTATGACTTTATTAACGTGATTTAATTTCCATTCGCATCGATATTTTTTCAATAACTAAGGAAATTAGAGGTTGAAATAAGAGAAAACAAATGTAAAAAGAATAAATTAGTAAACGGACAGAAAGTCACGAAACGGTAGCCGATCTCCCCTTTTTCTTTTTCTTTTTTCTTTTTTTTTTCCTTCGATTCTTTGTTTTGATACATTTTATAAAATATTTAATAAACTGAATATCTTATGGAACTCGAATCAATGCCATTTATTATTTAAAATAGAAGAAAGTTTCGTGGCCCCCTCCCGGCATGCGATCAATATTAATAGGTCGAGTTTATTTATTGAAAAATCAAGTGTTAAACACGTATTGGGTCTTTTGTATTTACGTTTATACACGAGGCAGTTGTATGAATTTCTGTAAGTTTGGCATGATTTTTTTTTTACAAATTTATGTAAGGAAGAAACGTAATTTACGCATTATTTTATCAATTTCTGTACAAAATAAACGTAATTTACGCATTATTTTATCAATTTCTGTACAAAATAAACGTAACTTAGGCATTATTTTACCAATTTCCGTACAAAATAAACGTAATTTAAACATTATTTTTTTACAAAATTGATATAGAAAACAACGTAGGATAAGCATTTTTTAACGAAATTTCTACAGAAAATTAACGTAAATTATACATTTTTTCTTCTTAAACTTCCGAGCAATTTAATTTTTTAGCAAAAATATTTAATGTTGGTTACCTTTATATATATATATATATATATATATTTAACCCTCGGATTTATCTATAGTTTTGCTATTTACGGTATTTGACTCTCTTAGTGCTTTCCTTGTCTGTGTGTTTGTATGTGGAAATGATATATGACCCGAATTCCACTCTTGAAGGGTATCATTAGTTACTGTAGTATGACAGCTCCAACATGGAATTGCAACATTGTGGAAGAGAAAGTCATCACTGTAACGTCTTACGCATAAATAATTTATATTATCGAATTCATACAATTGTCAAATTATACTATTAAAGGTAATTTCCCTCCCGGTGAGGATTACGGTAGAGAAAAAGTCGTAACAAACACACAGACACAGGGGAAAAAAATAAAAAAATAAAATAAAATAAGCGAGTAACCTTCAAACCCAAAATCGATTGACCTTATCTGTCTTGGAAACCATAAAGAAATAAGAGAAGGTCAGACGTTATCTGGTATATAATGCTCACCCCACTATATTAATGTTTACGTCTTTTGTGGTGTGTCTAAGATACTAGGCATTATAAAATGGATACAATTAAATTTATGCCCGGTGACAAACGAGATCGTTAGCAATAAGCCAATGATTTTAAGTCTCTTGTGTTTCTCCAATAGTTTATCCCAAACGAGAATTTTATAAGAGGGGGATAGGAAGTGACGATTATTTACGAGGCAATTCTTATTAGCCGGGCATTTTCAGTCGTTTAACTCACCCTCTATCAAACTATTAGTTGACCAAACTACAGAAATGCCGTCTTTAAATGCCCCATAATCGTTTAAAGGTAATGATCACTTCATAAAATTGAAATATGGATAACATTTTCGGTGGTAGTATCATGTACGGTCCCTGCGGTCGTTGACAAAACTGTATATCTTACTTTTAATTTCTCCCCTATTGTGTACCTGTCCGTCACCATGGTAACGCGTGTGTGACCTCGATTTGTTGCCAGGATAGCATCATTCCGACTCAGCCAATCAACTTTGGCTTTACTCGGGCTTATAATCATCATTTTTGCTATTCTTTCTTCCCCTCCCCTCCTCCCGTTATAACGTTTCGTCGTTACTTTTTGGGTTGATACGAAGATTAAATTGTCTATTACTCCATCGATTTTCCACGTTTTAATATAATAACGAGGTTTAAATGTCGGATCTTTAAGCCAGATCTAGACTTTTGTATACGATAAGTGGTTCGTATCTCTTGATTTTTATCTCGTTTTTATTTAATAAAGATTCGGGTTAGAGATATTTTACGTGTTTTAAAACACGAGGAAGGTCGATTTTCATCTAAAAATAAACACGGGATTATGAGGGAGGTGAGAGTAAATTATGAATATGTTATGTAATCTGAGGGGGGTATCTCCTGATGACGCTTCCCATTCGGAAAAAGTTCACCACAAAACTTTTGCAAACACATTATAGACAATTCATCATTGTCGAAATCCCCACCCCTCTAGTTTATATTCAACTGTAAGTAGCATTCAGCTATTGACTTATTCATGAAATGAAATAATTATAATGACTTTCTACTAACCATCCGACTGTCCAGTAATAAAAAGTATTAATTAGTTTTTAATTTTCTATTTTTCCATTAGTTTTTTTTTCCTTCCTCCCGTTTTATTCCTCCCTCTCTCTCTCTCTCTCTCTCTCTCTCTCTCTCCCCCCCTCCGATGACCACGTATCGATCTTCAAAGCCTTTGCGATAGTCGAAAGTTTCATTTACTCGGTAGGAAAAGGTAACACAAATCAAGGAAATCCGGCTGAAACATAAGATGTTTAAAACTTTCTCTAAAACTGCATCACCCCCTGTGGACGTCCCGAAATTTACGGCTCCCGTGTCGTGCTCAAAGTAACTAAATCGATCCCAGATGGTTCCAGAGAAGGATTAGATGTAGATAGATCCTTGGTGCATCACGCCCTGGGCCAGGTGCCCAAATAGCTTCGTTTACGACTTGGGGATGAAGGAAAGTGTAACCGGGAGATTCCCCACTTGAATTGCAAAACGAACTCGACATTTGAATGGGTGTTTACTGGCATTTACTATACAGTGCTCGACTCTCCGCATCTCCACTGTTGACAGAATAGGACTTTAACGTTATAGATTGAGATGGACTTTAGTCTGTAGAAGAAAATAGGAGATGGCACCCCTTCCTACTCCCTCGTGGAGGGAGTAGAGATGGAGTATGCTATATATTGTATCGAAGATGGCACCCCTTTAATATAATATGGCGGGAGTATACTGTATATAATAGGAGATAATACCCCCTTCCCACTCCCTCTTGTATCTCTCGTACATACAAGAAAGAGTAGGGAGGGGTGCCATCTCCTATTTTACAGGAGAGAGTATGTTGTATATTATTTTAGAGATGGCACCCCTCCTGTATATATAGGAGGGATGCCATCTTTTATTTACAGGAGTGATTAAGGGTATGCTGTATATTATAATCCTTCATTAATCTTGGTTATCCCGAATTATTTCCGGTGTTTTAAGTGAAATAACTTAAGAATTAAAATTGAAAAGATTCATTAATCCAGAGTAATAATTCGGAGATTTCAGAAAAGTCAATAAATCTGGAAAGGGCGTCACGTGTAAAACTGTACTCTGTAAGCCATTTGCAGAAACAGGAAGCGGTCAGTCACCTGACAGGTAACGTAGTTCTGGAGTTGACACCTGCTACGATTAATGACGCGAGTGTCACAGACTGGACCTTGTAGTCCAGATGGCAAAAGTCAGGAAGAGTTTTAATGAAGGAAACATATACTTAAGCATTCCTAATACAAGAGAAAATACAGTTTTTATATATATAATTTTCCCCCTTCTTCCCTCATTTTTATAGATCGAGGACGGGGTAGAGGTAACAATAACACGAGTAGCGGCCGCTCCTACAACCATAGCAGCATGGAACTACTAACGGCAAGAAACTATGGTGGATACAGTGGCTCGGAAGGGGAGGTGGATCCGTCTCTGGTCAGTGGCAAGAAGACCATGCAGTATCCCGCATACGGCACGTTACCACGACCCCCTCACAGTGCCACGGGTTCCACTACTTGGGATGCCTCCCCTCTACCACGTGACAATCCTGGATCGGCTGGGAATGGCCCGAGAAATCGGATATCCTTATCCCTCCGTCGGGGGCCATCTTCCTCTTCTACGTCAGACAATAATTCCGATGGAACTTACACGGATTCGGAATTCGTATCTAGAAACAGAGGAGGAGGAAAATGCCAAAACGGTAAGACATTTTTTTTTGCCATGTTCTTAGATTAAACGGGTTTTTATTAAAATAAAAATTCGATTCTGAAGGATCGAATTTAAAATTAAAAAGATTGAATGTTTGGGCTTTAACTATGAGCGACAAGGTATGGAAATAATTAGAAAAATTTCCACTTCAAATCAGTTCTTCACGCTCGGGAACACTTGAAGAAATGATAAAAATTGCGCATTTCCATTTATTTTGGGGGGGATTTTCTCTCTCGTACTGCGAAAAAATGCGATTTGTTTACAACAGGAGAAGGTAGGGGATTGGGAAAATCATATGGAAGTCGTCGATATAATTGACTTTAGATCGTCACATCTGAAGTCGTAAACAATTTTCAAAGAATCACTGAAACGAGAATTCAATTTGTGAAATCGCATCTCTCTCTCTCTCTCTTTCTCGCTGCACTTTAATACTCCTTTATACGAAAATGAAGAAAAAATAATGACTTTTTATTTCTGTAAAATGTGCGAATTTGTAAAAGAATCACTTGAAAAAATATCTAAGCAAATCTCTTTGAAATACATCGCAAAAATTCTTAGATAAAAGCCTTAAATGGCAGAAAAATAAACCTGTTAACGACGGACACTGACGAAAATTTATAAAAAAAAAACATTGGATGTTCTTTGTACGAGTTTCGAAACTGCTGCGTTGTTTCGGGGTGGTCGTTGTTTAGAGGTTATCTTTCAACGAGAAACGATCGAAAAAAATGTCCGCCGTTTACAGGTGAATAACCCGGGAGGTTCTAACTGTATAAGATAGAGAATTTTAAAACTAGAAACAACGATTTCTGAAGGTATCCTTGAAATGAGGAACATCTCATTACAAGGATCCCTTCAAGAATCTAATCACTCGAATGATTTTAATACACGTAGATAGGGTGATTTAATGGAGGTTAAGTATAATACAATACTTATCATTATTTAGAATACCATATTTTATTATTTTATACCAGTTTTAAAAACGGAGAATACTCTCTTTAACCATCCTCCGTTCTTCTTTTTAGTATGGAGTCCTCGTTTCTTAAATGCCAAGCCTCTTAAAATATGGAAAGTATCTCCGGATAGAGAATAATTACCGAATTAATATTCCCAGAAGCGTAATTTTGTAGTACATTCAATTAAACTGCTTCAATTATTCGTCGTAAGCCAACTACTGGTTCAATTACGGGCCCAACTAGTTCAATAGCAATCTGTGAAAATTAAATATATATCTTGAGCAAGATAGAACAGATAAACGTTGTAGATAATATTCAATTATCATTTTGGGGGCATCTTTAAACTCGTGCCGCCATCTATTTGTAAAAGCAATCAAATCCTCAGAAGATTTACAAAAGAATAAACTCATAAATATTCATTTTTTTTTTATCTCCCATCCCACTCATGGATGAAGAACATATATTTTCTCCTCCTCTTCCTCTTCCTTACTTATTTAATATAGAACAAACAAACAAACAAAATGTTTTCTAGAATTTTAAACTAGAATATATTCTTATTGAGTTAGTTGTTAGATTCAAATTTAATTATACTTTTGTGTAATTTATATAAATGTGGAAAATACACTTATATCTTCGGTGTATATTCAACATTTCTGCATCTAGGAATGATGCTGTTACCTTTTCCTTTGTAAATTTATTTACTTGATGTTTTAGTGTTTATTTTCAATTTAAGTAATGTTTATGGAGAATTTTCTAAGAAAATTTCAGTGAATTTATATCGTCCAACCTGTATACGACGGCCACTGACAGAATAAAATAAATGGATGTTATTTTGCGGTTATTTCGGAGAATTTCTAAAAAATAGATTTAAATAAACTTATATCGTTAACCTGTGAAGGACGACCACTGGCCTGGAAGCATTAAAAAATCGGTAGTTTGACGTATCAACTGTCTAGGCCATCCTACAGTCAAGTGGTCGCCATTTAGAGGTGACCGTTGTTGGAGGTTCCTTCTGTTTAGTAATGCAGTGATGATCATTTCATCTTTCTTCGTTATTTTTAAGAAAAATGGATACGAAAATAAATAATCTGTTAACAACGACCATTACCTTTTCGGGAACAAAAAAATGCATATAAAATCACCTCCAAAGAACGGCCACTTTTTTTCTATCGAATAAGAAAACGCCCTTAAAACAATCAGAAATAACGAACACTTATGGTCGTTGTTACGGGTTGTTTACCCTCCATACTTTACTCTCTCGTCAGTGGCCGTCGTTCAAAGGTTCGACCCGATTGACATGAAAGAAAATCTTCAAGTTTCCTTATAGAATTCAGTAGAAATTCTTGAATAAATCTTAAAGAGAAATTGGTAGAGTGGGTAGAAGTTTAACTTTAACTTTGTTCTGAGAATAAGTTGAGTTTGTTAAAAGCAATAGGCAAGAAGGATTCAAAAAATTCAAAGCGAGAGCCTTTGTGAAAGCGTAAGAGGAAATCGATAGGAGAATTTCCAAAAGATTCGGAATTATATAGAGTTCCATTTGAAACACATTTATAGAATTAGATAAAATGAACCAAGTCGAATGTTGGTGTGAGAAGGAATTTAACCGAGTTCAATAAAGACCCATAGTTAAGTCGAATTTCGAGAACTTCGACATAATCCTTTCAAAGAAAATGTGATTTGCAGTAAGAAACTCCCGGCAAAATAAAAAGAAAAAATAGTAAAGTTCAAGAATGATCAATAAGAGAATACATATTAAATTTTTGAAGTCGATACAGGTTTATAAGCTTATCTGTGTGTGTGTGTGTGTGTGTGGGCGCGTGTGTTTGTGTGTATACAGTTACACCAGGCTTTCACTAGAACAGGATTCAACTAGGATAGATTAGAACGGGCTTCAATTAGAACAACTTTCAATTAAAGCAGGATTTAACTAAGTGAGGTTTCAATTAAATCAGGTTTCACTAGGTCAGGTTTCAATTAAAGCAGGCTTCATTAGGTGAGGTTTCAATTAAAGCAGGCTTCATTAGGTGAAGTTTCAATTAAAGCAGGCTTCATTAGGTGAAGTTTCAATTAAAGCAGGATTTTACTAGGTGAGGTTTCAATTAGAACAGGCTTTACTAGGTGAGGTTTCAATTAAAGCAGGCTTTAACCAGGTGAGGTTTCAATTAAAGCAGGCTTCACTAGGTGAGGTTTCAATTAGAACAAGCTTCAACTTGGTAAGATTTCAATTAACAGGCTTTAAATAGAAGAGACATTTAATTACAATAGGCTTCAAATATAAGAGGCTTCAATTACATTAATGTGAGGCCCATCATTTTTCCCCTCAAAAACATTTGTTATTATTGTATCTATATAGGCCATATATTCTGGTTATGTAAAGAGAACTGTTAGCTATCAGACAGGACGCCCTTTGGACCCACATCTGGAAGATGCGTATGTAAACGTGACATTGAGACTGTTTATCTATTAACCAATGTTGTAAAGGAATTTCGCCTATTTTTCCGATTTTAGGGACTCCCTTTTCCAAACTTTCAGTAATATCGATTTAAAATAATTAAGAGAAACAAATTAGAATAAAAAATTTATCAATTAAATGTTATAAATCTCAGAACATGCAAAGGAAAAGATGAGGGGACGACAATCGTTTCCCCCTTTTTCGATAGTGTTATATGATCGGCGGTATATTATTTATGTCACAAGGCCGCACATCATTTTTCATTGATAAGAGAGAAGGAGGACCACTAGATGACCAATCGTACATTTTACAAATTACTTCATCTTCCTCCGGAACTAAAGCATAATTGGTCAAAAACAAAGAATAAAATAGAAAGAAGTGACGAAATTAACAGAGATTGAAAGAGAATTAAGAGACTGACTGGCCGGACAGGGAATTGACCAGACAAGACACAAGTAAAGGAGAAAGAAGACGAAAAGGAAGAAGAGAAAGTGAAGAAGGAAGAGAAGACAACTCTTTTCCTGGTATGTTGTGAGTCGCTCAGTTCGGATATCCCACGTTTTATATATAAAAATAGGCCAACTTTCTAAATAGGATTTTATAATGTTGTTCAGAACTTTGTTTTTTGATGGCCCTCAAACTCTACATTAGGCTTCAACTAGAACAGGCTTTTAATTACAACAGGCTGAATTACAATCGGATTTAATTAGAACAGGCTTAAATTAGAAAGTTCAATGAACTCACCACATACGTTGCTACGAATTAATAAGATTATATGTTCAACAAAACTTTATAAGCTAGGAGGAAAAAACCCCTTCTAAATATTTTATTTCGTTTCTAGATCATGTTTAATTGTTATTTTTTCTACTCACTTAATTTTTAATTAAATAAGAAAAGTAAAAATACTTCGGGGAGAAAAATAATTCGAAATGTCGATTGATTGAATTTCACTCGACATTTTTTTTTTTTTATCCTTTCTTGTCGGCCACTTCCGGGCAAAAATGTCTCCGTGGCTTTCATCACCCGCTGACGTCACAGCGTAACGAGATGACCACGTGATCTTGTAGCAGATCAATGGTTCCAACAAACACTAGATGAGGGAGAAGGGAGTAAAAAAAATAATAATAATAAAAAAAAGGGAGGGAGAGCTAGTTTTGGAATGCTGCCAAAACGTGCGAGAGCGTAGCACCCACTGGCTAATGATTATGACAAAAACGTTAAATTATGCCAACATGGCCGAAAGTTCTACTCATTTACTTGTTCATATTCTTGGTGATGTGAACTCTTTCACGTTCTCTTTGATGCTCTCGATTTTCCTCTCCCTCCTCCTCCTCCTTCATCTCGCTATTTTCTTCATCCTTCTACTTGATTCCGTATATAACAGGTTGCTTATGCTCTTGTATTAACGAAGAGAATCGATTTAAGAAGAATTTATTATTAATATACTTTTGCCAAAAGATATTCTTAAATTCATCTCGATCTTTTCCCCCCACTCTTCATTCTTTTTTTCCCTCTTATTAAAACATTGCTTTTAATTATTTAAGATGTAATTTTCTTTGAAAGTATTTTTCAAAAATTAAAAATTTA